GGCCTTTTTGCTTTTGGCAGTTTAGGTAAAATTTAATGAAGGGTTCTCAATGCTATTTGCTGTTTGACCTAAACGGATTGCTTATAATTCCCCGAGTATGTCACATTTTCAAAGTAGCAGTAATCTCGGCAATTATGTTAAACCTGTTTTACCGCTTAGATACCATTTTGCATTCGAATTTGTTCAGTGTGTAGTGGCGGCACCGATTATAAAAGTGGTTCGGGACGTAAGTCATAACAGCGAAACTATATGGCACGATTGGTAGTAAAACTCGCAGCCCCAGGAGTCCGGTACTGATACATGTACATAGTTGGTGTTTCGAGTCGCTTTCTGTCGAGAAACGGCGATTCAAAGGTACTCCCAAAGGTTTCATTGGAGATGTGGAAAGGCTATGCCAGATGGACCATTCAGAGAATTCACCTGTTTCAAGAACAAAAAAATCGTACTTATGACGTCGCCGCCCGAAATAAAGTTCCACCGAAGTAAGTTTTTTTTTCAACTTATGCCTTACACCGCGTCTGCTACCTCAGTGATAGTTCAATTTTAAGACACCCTGACATTTGAGTGTAACTGCGACTGAGCAGTTCGAATAGTCAAGGAGGTCCGTACTTTATCCAAAAATTTTAACTGATGACTTATGTTGGTGGATGATTGGTTATACCGTGTTCTGATTCAGTTTTCAAAAAGAGACCCTATCCATAGGTCGAAGTGTGGCCCTCGTTTGGAAAACAATAGGTCGCCATCACCGTGTGCGCCTCTGGTATTTCTAAAAGCCTTAAAAGTCGTATTGAGTCTGCTCTGCTTGCCTTGTGCCCGTTAGGCAACACAAAGTATCATATGGCTTTTGACCGAATTAGGGTCGTGTACGAGCGCTTCCTGCCTACAGTATTTGGATACCACAACCGCCACTTCTGTTTTTCCTGATGCGACTGCCCATCTTATTCCCCGTTTCTGATGTCTTGACATTAAAGCTGCTTGAATATTCACAACTTATTTTCGCTTACGTGAAAGAAACGATGTTGCCGCGCCCATTAGCAGGCCGAGTGTTACTGGAGTTTGTGTTCTTTTCATCACAGAGTTTGATTACTCTGGAAGCGTTACTTTCGCATTATTCATTTCATATGTGAGGACCCATCAATCGGTTTTAATGGTACTCTTATGTCATTTCTGTCTACAGGCCAGCACCAGATGCCTAACAGCGCGACGAAGAAGTCTTTTAATCGTAATAATTAGAACCGACTAAAAGACCCGCCGTGTTCTGCTGATCATTAACGGAGGCTAGAATGACAGGGCTGAGCCAGACAACTCTTCAAATAGCCACCATATTGAACACTTTGAACGTAATCCTCGGCGTGGCGGTAGAAGGATGTCGAGCTTTGTTGACCGGAGCCCGCCGGTTGCCGCCCACACAAGTTTTCAGCATCGTTGCAAGCGTAGGTTAATCTGGCATTCAGGCTATAGTTGCACGGCCAACTAAACTGAAAACTAGTCAGTTCAAGGTTCCGTGGACAAGCTGATGTTAGTAAATCCATGTCTCGTGTTGAAAACACTAACGGCTATTGATCAAACATTTTATCCTTTGTAAGAGAGAAAGTTCACTCCTCAGCAAGAACCGGTTGTCGCAATATTAAGAAAAGTCTGTACGACGAAGGCGCTCAGCACAAACATATGGCTACGCTTTGCCATCCGTGTTGAAGAAGAATATAGTAGAAACTAGTCATCCTTGAACTCCACAGTTTTTGAAACAGTGAAATAAATTTTCGGAATCACCCAGCAGCATTTCATTGGCTGGATCCGCTTGAGAGCCCTAGACTTATTGGTCCTGACAGCCTGCGTCAGGCCCCTTAACGGCGATCCTTCGAAATAATTTCGGAAAAGTCC